TTGTTTACATATACTGACTTGTGTGATTTTCTGTCAGTGTGACGAATATGCAGCAAACCAGTGGAATTTAAATTTGGCCGAATGTGTTTCCTCTGCCACCAGGCTGCTGATGCAGACTCGCTATTTAGGGGCTGAACATTTCACTGGCCGTCGTAATTCTGGCCTTTGTCCTGAAACCAAAAATCTCTAATATAATAAATCTGTATAAACTGACTCAGGGTAACTGTTTTCTGCTAAGAATAATACCACTCTCTAAAAAGTTGCCCAGGTGTTTGGAGAAACAGATTATTAGATTGGTGCAGCTTCAGGATAAATATATGATTTCTCACAATTTAAGCACTAGGCAGATATGAATGTAGATTATTTTTCTTCAAAAAATATCCCTCCCTGTTACATATGGTTTTAAATATATGTCTTGCTGCTCTTTTCAGTTTAAAAGATTGCCACCATTCAGAGGACTTACCTTGAAAGCTTTCTCTCCCATGAAAAAGAGGATGTGAAACTCTGAAAATGGGAAACTATCAGTGCCAGTGGAAGAGGGGGTGTATGGAGAGACTTACTTACTGCCCAAGAAAGATGCCTATGCCTTCCTTTTCCCCCCAAATTTATGACATATTTTGTAGGTTAGTTTGGCTGGCCAGGCTAAGTGGAATTGGCCCTAGAGCTGTGCTACATGTTTTGTAGAATAAAATGCATACAAATGAAACTGCTGATCGTGAAGGGGAAGCGTACAAAACCAAGTTGTTATATACTTCCGCTACTATCACCTGACAATGAGTCACAAGGATCAAAATTTGCTGACATATGGGAATTTGATGCACTGCACCTACCTACTGCAACAGGACAGACACACTGGCAGCCTTGAATGTGAATCAAACAGGACTACAGGGTAGAGCTACTGAGCCCATTTCAAAGCAGCCCCAAAGCCCAAGAGGGGAATCTGGTGAGTGTTTGCACAGGAACTGTTGGAAGCAGCCAGTTAGTCAGAAGTTAGTAAAATTTATATATTTCAGTGGTGTCAAAAGTACACACATTTGTTACTTAAGTAGAAGTATAGATACTGCAGTTTAAAAACAATGTGGTAAAAGTTGAAGTATCAACTTGAACTCTTTACTCAAGTAAAAGTTAAAAAGTATATGCTCCGAAAACTACGTAAAGTATAAAAGTATAAAGTAACCTTTAAAAAAAAGCAGCCAGATGCCTCTAATTTAATCAAAGCTCAATTTTTTCTGGCCTGGTCTTACAGCGGTAGTGTTAATTTCGTTAAAAAAAAACTGGCAACTGGGGACCTGCTGTATTTGCATGCCAGGGAATACTGCTGTATTTGCATGTCAGGATTGACTTTCAAGTAGTGTTAATTTCGTTAACGAAAACTAAACGAAAATATTTTTG